AGTGCTCTGGTATGAACCATACGGTTTTCATTGACTAATTTTTGGGAGTAGATCACTAGGCCTTTTTTCCTATCGTATCTTAATCTGATAGCTCTACTGGAATCCGTCCACCATGGGTGACTGCTAGTATTTGAACTACTGGTGGCATAGCTTCCAGGATCTTAGCATTGCAAGCCAGCACAGAATGACAAACTGACAATGGGTAGAGGGATTGCTCTATCAGGAATTATGCATTATTTTAAAAATTTTTTTTGACAGCCTGAGATATTATAAAAAAATAATTTAACAAAAGCTACCTTGATGATGTAATATAAAAACAATTTTGCAAAGGAAATAATTTCTGGGGATAAAACAGAAAGGTTTTGCTCAATTTAATCTTGATTATTATAAAACTATGGAGAAAATGTGAAATAGAATATTTTTAAACAAATACAGTTTATAAAAGAACCTATTACTCACCAATGATCAAACAGCTAAACATTTAGAAGTCAATCATAGTTATCATTTGAATCTCTCTCTGCATTCGATACACTTGCTACATTTCCACTGTTAAGAGAGCAGCTCCTCGTGGTCTTATTCTATTATTTAATAAAGCTTTTTAAATACGAAGAGCTGCATGTTTAGGAGTCTGATTTTTCAATGACCAAGTATTAAGTCTTCGAGAGGCTTTGAGCTGGAAACCACAGTGACAGCTTTTATAAATATTCCGTTACCACATGAAGTAGTCAGCTTTTATTTTGCAGTGAGGATACACATTTTATAGAGTACTAAAAACTGATTACTGAGATTATTGTGCAATGAATTTCAATAACTGCAACATGTAAATGGATCACATGGAAAGATGACATGTTGTAATTGAGGTTACTACTGTTGGTGCTGTTGGACACTCATTTATCCAGTTTTCAGATCCCTTAGACAGAATAACTTATTTTTAATGGGACATTACATTCACAAAAGAAATGGCCTCATCTCACTTGATTATCTGAAACCACATAAACTTATTATTAAAAAAAAAAAATCAAACCACCACCACCACCAACAACAACAAAAAACCCAGTAAGGACAACAGCAGAGAAATGGTTCATTTTATATACACTTTTCTTTTTTGTGCTGATCAGTATTTTTTAAATCAAAAAACCCATTGACATTGAGTTGATTCCAACTTATAGTGACCTTACTGTTGTTAGGTGTCACCGAGTCACCTCAGACTCATAGCAACCCTATGTACAACAGAAGGAAACACTGCCGGTCCTGTGCCATCCTCACAATTGTTGTTATGTTTAAGCTTATTGTTGCAGCCACTGTGTCAGTCCCTCTCGCTGAGGGTCTTCCTCTTTTTCACTGACTCTCTACTTTACCAAACCTGATGTCCTTCTCCAGGGACTAATCCGTCCTGATAACATGTCCAAAGTATGTGAGTCATAGTCTGGTATTCTTTCTCCTAAGGAGCATTCTGGTTGTACTTCTTCCAAGACAGATTTGTTCATTCTTTTAGCAGTGCGTGGTATATTCAATATTCTTTGCCAATACCGCAATTCAGAGGCACCAATTTTTATATAGTCTTCCTTATTCATCATCCAGATTTCGCATGAATATTAGGCGATTGAAAACATCATGGCTTGAGTCAGGGGCACCTTAGACTTCAAGGTGACATCTTAGCTTTTCAACACTTTAGAGAGGTCTTTTGTAGCAGATTTGCCCAATTCAATGCATCTTTTGATTTCCTGACTGCTGCTTCCTTGGGTGTTGATTGTGGATCCAAGTAAAATGAAATCCTTGACAACTTTAATCTTTTCTCCATTTATCATGATGTTGCTTATTGGCCCAGTTGTGAGGATTTTTGTAATCTTTATGTTGAGGTGGAATCCATACTGAAGGCTCTAGTCTTTGATCTTCATCAGTAAGTGCTTCAAGCCCCATTCACTTTCAGCAAGCAAGATTGTGTCATCAGCATAAAGCAGGTTGTTAATGAGTCTTCCTCTAATCTTGATGCCCCATTCTACTTCAGAGAGTCCACCTTCTCAGATTTTTTGCTCAATAAACAGATTGTATAGGTATAGTGAAAGGATACAACCCTGACACATAACTTTCCTGACTTTAAACCACACAGTATCCTCTTGTTCTATTTGAATGACTGCCTCTTGATCTATGTACAGGTTCCTCATGAACACAATTAAGTTTTACAAAATTCCCGGTCTTCTCAATGTTATCCATAATTTGTTGAATGCCTTTGCATAGTCAATCAAACACAGGTAAACATCTTTCTGCTATTCTCTGCTTTCATCCAAGATCCATGTGACATCAACAATTATATCGCTGGTTCCATGTCCTCTTCTGAAGCCGGCTTGAATTTCTGGCAGTTGTTTGTCAATATACTGCTGCAGTGGCTTTTGAATGATCTTCAGCAAAATTTTACTTGTGTGTGATATTAATGATATTGTTCAATAATTTCCATATTCAGTTGGATCTCCTTTCCTGTAGGATCTCTTCCGGTCAGTCTGCCAGGTAGCTTTCTCCCAAATTTCGTAGCATACATAAGTGAGGACTTCCAGTGCTGCATCCGTTTGTTGAAACATCTCAATTGGTATTCCATCAGTTCCTGGAGGCTTGCTTTTTGCCAATGCCTTCAGTGCAGCTTGGACTTCTTCCTTCAGTACCGTAAGTTCCTGATCATATTCTACATTCCTGCATGGTTGGAGGGCAAACAATTCATTTTGATTTAGTAACTCTGTGTATTCCTTCCATCTTCTTTTGATGATTCCTGCATGGTTTAATATTTTCCCCACAGAATCCTTCACTATTTTAACTCGAGGCTTGTTTTTTTTAACTCAGTTCTTTCAGCTTAAGAAATGCCAAACATGTTCTTCCCTTTTGGTTTTCTACATCCATCTCTTTGCACATGTCATTATAATACTTTCCTTTGTCTTCTGGAGTTGTCCTTTGAAATCTTCTGTCCAGCTCTTTTACTTCATCATTCGTTCCTTTTCCTTTAGCTACTCAATGTTCAAGAGCAAGTTTCAGAGTCTCTTCTGACATCTATTCTGTTTTTTTTTTTTTTTTTTTTTTTTTAATGACATCTAGCTTTCTTTATGTATGATGTCCTTGATGTCATTCCACAACTCGTCTGGTCTTCAGTCATTAGTGTTCATTGTGTCAAATGTGTTCTTGAGATGGTCTCTACATTCGGGCGGGACATACTCAAGACTGCACTTTGGCTCTTGTGGACTTGTTCTAATTTTCTTCAGTTTCAACTTGAAATTGAATACAAGCAATCGATGGTCTGTTCCATAGTTGGCCCCTGGCCTTGTTCTGATTGATGATATTGAACTTTTCCATCATCTCTTTCCACAGATGTAGTTGATTCGATTCTTGGGTATGCCATCTGGCGAGGTCCACGTGCAGGCTATTTATGTTAGCGGAAAAAAGTATTTGCAGCGAAGAATTTTCAGCCTTGTAAAATCCTATCATGTGATCTCAGGCATCATTTCTATTACCAAGACTATATTTTCCAACTGATCCTTCTTTGTTTCCAGCTTTCACCAGTAATAATCAATGCATCCTGATTGCACATTTGATCGATTTCAGATCGCAGATGTTGGTAAAAATTTTCAATTTCTTCATCTTCGGCCTTAGTGGTTGGTGCGTAAATTTGAATAGTAGTGCTATTAACTGGTCTTGCTGGTAGGCGAATGGATACTATCCTATCACTGACAGTGTTGTACTTCAGGATAGATCTTGAATTATTCTTTTTGAGGATGAATGCAACACCATTCCTCTTCAAGTTGTCATTCCTGGCATAATAGACCATATGACCATCTGTTCAAAATGGCCAATACCAGTCCATTTTGGCTCACTGATGCCTGGGATATCGATGTTTATGTGTTCCATTTCCTTTTTGATGATTTCTAGTTTTCCTAGATTCATACCTGGTACATTCCATGTTCTGATTGTTAAGGAATATTTGCAGCTCATTTTGACTCATGCCACATCAGCAAATGAAGATCCCAAAAGCTTGACTCTATTGACGTCATTAAGTTTGACTCGACTTTGAGGAGGCAGCTCTTCCCCAGCTTCCAACCTGGGTGGCTCATCTTCACACACTAAATCAGACAAATGTTCCACTCCTACTCATAAGGTTTTCACTGGCAAATTCTTTTCAGAAGTAGACCTCCAAGTCCTTCCTAGTCTGTCTTAATCTGGAAGCTCAGCTGAAAACTGTCCACCACCATGGGTGACCCTGTGGTATTTGAATACCAGTAGCATAGCTTGCAGCATCACAGCAACACACAAGCCACCACATTACAACAAACTGACAGATGCATGGGGGAGTAACCTTATACAGCAGAATAAAGCTTCCCCATGGGGTTTCCAAGGAAGAGCAGATTGATTCCACCTGCTGACCTTTGGGTTAGCAGTTGAGCTCTTAACCACTGTGCCACCAGGGCTCCACTTTTAAAGTTGTTCTATATTAGATGCTGGCATGATAATGAAATACTAATGAAAAATAAATGATCTACCTATCACCTACTTAGAAGTATTTTGTATTTCTTGTCAATTATATCAAAAACAATTTATTAATGTTGTTGTTTGTAGCTGCTGTCAAGTCAGCCTCCAACCCATGGCGATCCCATGCACAACAATAGTAAATGCTGTCTGGTCCTGTCCCATCCCCATGATTGGTTGCAGACTGGACTATTGCGATCCATAGTATGTTCTTTGACTGATTTCTGGAAATAGGTCACCATGTCATTATACCTAGTTCACCTTAGTCTGGAAGCTTTACTGAGACCAGTTTAGTGTCATAGACACAGAACAGCCTCCACTGACAGACGAGCGGTAGATGCACCTGAAGTGCATTGACTGGGAATCGAACCAGAGTCTCCTGCATGTAAGGCAAGAATTCAACCACTGGATCACCATTGTCACCTTAATTCATTAATACGTGTGAATATACTATGTTCATCATATTTCTGGGTCTTAACCATTCACTACTAAATTACCTCTAATGAAGACAGCTCGCAAATCCTTACTGATATCCTTTGTGATTCCCAGACGGTGCCAAGGATCATAGGAACCATTGGCAAAGATGATTTTGCTTCCCCTCACTTTGAGGCCATCATAGTACCTGTTGGTGGCCATAGCACCCCGAGTTATTGAATTGATATTGATATCAGGGCCAAAGACATCGGCACACTTCTTAACATAATACCTGAAAAAAAAAGGAGACAAAATTGTAGGTGCCAGAAAGCAGGCTTGAGAAATGTATGAAAGATATCTACAGAAAGAATGTGGTGGTTCTTGTTTGCTTTTTTAGTTGTTTTGTTTTCCTCTTGAGAATCTGAGTTACTTAAAATAGCTAATTTTTTTTTCAGTTTAAGAATCTTTGTATCTGTCCATCTAACTATCCATCCGTCTATCTATCTACCTACCTTTCTATCTATCTGTCTGAATCCCTTATGCACAGTGATTAAGAGCTCAGCTGCAACTAAAAGCATGGCTATTCTAATCCACCAGCCGCTCTTTGGAAACCCTATGGTGCAGTTCTACTCTGTCCGGTAGGGTTCCTATGAGGCAGAATTGACTCAAAGGCAATAGATTTGGTTTGGGTTTTATCTATGTACCTACTTACCTACCTATGTACCTACCTACCTACCTCTCCTATGACTTCCTCTAGAGGTCCTTCAGTAGTTAAGTGTGGGGGAATGTGGTCACCAAAATATTTATCTATTTGGACCCTTTGTCAACACAATATAGAGTCTCAATGAGGAGACTGTATACCTCACGGACTTATGTTTCCTGGATGCCACCTAGGGCTTCATAACAGGCAAAGTAGAAGAGTCTATTATTTGCCTTCCCATTGAACCCATAATTGTAACTAGAATAGTAACTACTGTGGAAAGGAGAAAGTTCAATGCATAGCCTGCCTGCCTGTTGAGGAAGAGAGCACAAAGACAGTAAGAGGGGGAGTTGGCCTTCAATTTAATCTTCCTCCTATGGAAAAAAAAAAAAAAAAAATCCCTGCAATTATGGTTTCTACTTACAAACAGAAGATAAGGCAGAGCCTTTACCTTAGAGGCAATCCAGAGAAAGAGTGGTTCCTTAAACTTGTGGTAAAAAAGTAGCCAAGTTCAGTGCAACATTGAAAAAACCATGGCCTGCCTGGAAAGGAAAACATCAATTAACTTAACCAGAAAAGATATTTTTCTTGATGACTAAATAAAAAGCTTAAAAAAAATTAAGCACTCTAATTTGCATACTTCTTGTGATCTTCAAAAAGGAATTTGATCTTATTATTATTAATGTTTTTTTTACTCTTGCCCAACATTACAACACCAAGAACTGATAACTGTGTGCAATGATCAGGAGATGTTGGTGAGGACTCACATGCTCCTGAAGTAAACTTTTCCCATTCCCTCCAGGGCCATCTCTATGAGCACCACAGAACTGTCCCACTATCTGTCCTTTATTTTCAGCCTCTGCTGGGAAAATGCTACACTGTCTCTGCATCCCCCTCTAGTTATCTTCTCCTAAGGATCACCCAGGCCCTTCTCCATGAAGCTTCTGGAAAGAGGGATGAAAGCTTGATGCCTTTGTCACTCACCATCTCTGCATCATCACTCACAGCATGACTGCAACTTCTCTCCCAGGTCACCAATATTGGTAAGGTGAGTAAATCAAAGCATCAAATTGTGGATAATAACTTAGAAGTTTGGTTCACTGAAATTTTAGCAGCTATATCAAGGATTCACATATCTTTGAGCAATTTAGTTAACAACTTTAAGAACTATTCATACTAAAAATATATTGAAATTGTAGTTATGTTGGATTTCCAACAGGCTAGTGGAAGAGAGAAAGTTCCTAAGTGGTACAAATGGTTTGTGCTCGATTTGAACCCACCCAGCAGATCCACAGAAGGGAGGACTGGAAATCTCTTCCACAAAGATTAGAGCCATGAAAACCTTATATTGAAGTTCTTCTCTGTAACATATGGGATTTCCACGAGTCAAAATTGACTCATCATCAACAGTTTAGGTCATTCTAGAGTGCAACCAGGTTTGAGAACTTCTCTATATAGAATTTTAAGTGGGGTGAGGTATTTTCTTGGCAACAGTGCCACTTAAAGGTACTAAGAGATCCCTTTCTTTATTCTGATTTTTGCAATCCTGAGCAACTGGTATTTCTGCCTCTCTTACTAAAATGATTTCATCTGTGTATGTCCATCTCCTGGACTCATTCATTCTCTCTTCTCATCCTTGAGTAAAAGCCTTAGATCTGTTTTTTCGTAATTCCTCACGAAGGTTAATGAGCCTCACAACTTGCAGAGCATTTAATGCATGTTGTTGTGCTCATATTTCTCAACCCCCAAAGGAAAATTTCTATTTTTGCCAGATAACACTTTACCTATAAAGTAATTATTCATTTCCACAGAAGCAGCAGAGAACCCACTCCTAGATTCATTGTAATTTGCAGACAAACAAAAGCCATCTTTGTTCTTGAGCATTGTGCTGATAACATTTGCAAATCTATGATATGGTGAACCCATTGAAGTGTTAGTCATCTTCTCACAAAATTCATCAATTCTCATCTCACGCGTAAGTCCCTACAAAAAAAAAAAAAAGATTCCAATTATGTTTAAAAGAATATGCATTTGATGGCTTTTAGCTCAAAATGGAATTCAGCTCCAAAAATTATTTTAAATGCTTTAAATGATTCTTTTTAATTCAAATAAGGTGCAAATGTTCTTTGGTGACTTTGGTATGGATATCAACTCTGAAAATATCAACTCAACCTGAGTAGGTTGCAGAGTCTATTAGAAGTGAGTCACATCCATTTTTAAGACACATAGCTAATAAAATCATTTGCTTTAACAATGGCTTTTGGTACTCAGGTCGGTATTTTTTGTAAGAGTTTACAAATAAAGAAGCTTTGATTGAACATGTGATATCTTGCCAGAGCAGTGCTAAAAACTTTGGAAGGTGTAAAAGATGAGAACCAACACTTTGGAAGAATCTAGTCAAAGAAAACAAAATACATAAAATATGAAAACAGTAATGAGTTACTCTGGAGACTCTGATAGAGGTCAAGGACTAGAATCATGAGTAAAGGCTTCCTGAGGATGTAGGAATTGAGGTGGACCAGGAAGATTGTGTAAGATTTAAATAAATAGAGATAAATAGAGTACAATTGTATGTTTTCACTAATATGAAGTATCTGGAATAGACAAATGTATAGAAAATAGAGTTTAATAGTGATTACCAGGAAAAGAGAGACAAAGAAAGGGGGGATTCATTGTTTAGGTAAAACAGAGTTCTTGTTTATGGGGATGAAAAATTTGGCATTGGTCATCGGTGATGGCTGCACAACAGGATTTATGTAATTGGTTTTAATGAACTGTACATGTGGCAAATGTTGAATTGGTAAATGTTATGTTCTTTACATTTTTACAACAATAAAAATTAAAAAAAGTAAAACAGAAGAGGCCATTTTAGGCAAGGGGACCAACAAGTCTGAAGAAGTGCTAGCAGGGATGTGTAATGTCTAAGTCGATGATTGAACAAGCCTGGATCTTGTGACCTTGAGTTAGTTACTTACCTGTCAGCCTCAATTTGCTCATGTGTTCAAAGGGTACAATAAAAATAAGATAATCAGAAAAACTCAACGTTGCTGTGAGGATTAAATGAAAGTAGCCCTTAGTATCGTGCCTACATCAAAGGTCATTCAATAAAAAGCAGCATTGTTATCATATTAAATATTATATATCTTCTTCTTACATTTTCTTTGCTTGTTATAAGTATACAGGTAACAAAACATTTGTCATTACTACAATCTTCACATGTACACTTCAGTGACGTTAATTATGATCATCATGTTGTTCAACCATCACCATATTATTATTCTTATTTAGTCAAGAGAGGTATTTAACAAGGAAAAAAAAGTGGAAATAAGTATTGACCGTAGAATGTTTTTAAAAATGAAACTCTCTAACTTAGAATAGATGGAATAATAAGGGATCTTCCAAAGTTTTGAATATGTTGGTAATTTACTGAAAAAGATACTCAAAAAAGATTAGCCCAAGTAGAGGGGCGGTGGTTTATATATGGGAAGTTGAGAGATGTCCTAACTTTCTGTTACTGCAAAATCATTGACTTCACAACATCCTTTCATGTAGGAAGGAATATCTATCTGAAATGCCATAGTCTACCAGTAAAGAGATTTGGGCAGAAATGTGTAACGTTTCTCATGTCACTTGTTAAACACATAAAATTCCATTCTCGGTTATTCTTAGAAAGAAAAATGTTTTGTTAATAATATACTAACTATGAACCTGTGAGTATCACTTCTGCACACCCATTGTAGCAAGGATATTATATTATTATGACAGGCTGGTATATTTATTTCAGCAGTTTTGAGAGAGGGTTTGCTTTGTTTTGGTTTGGCTTGAGGAAAAAGAAAGGAAAGGACCTGACAGTAGCATACTCCCACTTAACAGACCATACAGTTCTAATTAGGTACCAGTGTAAGAACTGCTCAGTTAAACAGTATATCAGGACTTTGTGGGGTTGGCAGAAGCTGACAACTGAAGCTCAGCTTCCCTAAGTTCGGAAAAATTCAGTAGCTATTCCTCACATTAACTGCAGACTTAACTTCAGACTATGGCTTGACAACTCTACTTTGAACAGCAACTGCAGAAAAATACAGTTAGATCCTGTGAAGGCTGGGAAAGGCTCTGTATTACTTTCATGCTTAATAATTCTCTCTACACTCATCATTTTGATTTATTCAGCAGGAAAGCACCCCAGTCAACAACTATTATCTCCAGGGGAAAGAGTCTCAGAAATTACAAAGAGCCCCAAATCAATTTCCTATACTTTTGTATAAGAAAAAAAAAAAAGTGCCCGGGACAGGGGAATATACTTCAAGTTCCTGCCCAGTTAAATCAATGTAATATTTTAACTGAAGCCATTCTGGCAAGACAAACACAGATACGCCCACACACACACAGAGTCCTCAACTTTTTCTGTCTCATCTGAATGCTTAATTTTACATTTTATTGATTATCACTATCAGAGGAATAAAGGCCTTGAGTATAAAAGTTTTTAAAGGACAATAAAAATTAATATTTCATATTTGCTAACTTTCAAAACTATAAAAGTTTTACTATAGATGAAGATCAAATCCATTGGTGGAATTTATTTTTTGAATTATACTTTTTGAATTGTCTGTGGATTTAGGAATCCCTAGTGCCACATTTGGTGTCCCTGGGTGATGCAAATCGTTAACATGCTTGGTTGCTAACCAAATGGTTAGAGGTTCAAGTCCACCCAGAGGTGCCTCAGAAGAAAGGCCTAGCAATCTGCTTTCCAAAATCATCTATTGAAACCCTTTGGAGCACAGTTCTACTGTAATACACATGGAGTGGCCATGGGTCAGACTGACTTGATGGCAATTAGTTGGTTGAATGCTACATTTGCACAGAAAATCTGCAGGTGACTACTAATACAGGAACGGTTGCTAGAGAAACTGAATGTAATGAAAGAAAATGCAATTATACTTTATTAACTCATTTTTTTCAAGTGGTATAGGACTTTCCTGTTTTGGGATTATGTTGAAGGGTAAAGACGGACATGAATAATTGGTATAGGAGATAGAGTTTTAAATTCCACTTAAATTTCATAAGAATCACCTGAGGAACTGACTCATGGTTCCCACTCTAGAGGCTTGGAGGTGAGGTCAAGGAATCTGCATTGTTAACATACACTTCAGGTAATTATGCTGCACATCTTAAGAAATTTTGGTAGAGCCAAGACCTGCTTGACACTGATTTTAAAATTAAAAACTACTCCTCACCATGTGGCCTATATAGTGGCAATTCAGGGGATTTGGTTTCAGTTGCTATAGCTGGAGCTCTGTTATAACATGGCATAGATTTGCAATGTTTTCTTGAGCAAGGGAAAAAGACTTCAAAAACTCATAATTTGCTGAGCGTCGCCGGTGTACATGGCCTCACATTAACAGGAAAATAACACAATTTCATTTCTACCAGGCTTTTCAAAGGGAAAATATCAAACTTCATACTAAAGTTGTATATCAGTTCAGGAAAAAGAAAATCACAGGAATTTCAAACTGCTTACCTCCTCTTATGACCCAAAAAAACCAAAACTCACTGCCATTGAGTTGATTTTATTCAAAACACCAGTTACAAAGTAAGCAAATCTCCTAGTCCTTTTAGTAAGAAGATGGGCACAAAATTAATTCATACAGATTAAATAGCATGGAAATGTCTGTAGTCTGTAGAATTTGTTTAATTCTGGTGAAATGTGTGCCTTGCATTCTCTTAAAGAGATAAAAAATATGCATATAGACCCTACTTAATTATTCAGAGTAATAAAACTTATGCATAATATTCAAATTAAATAAAACATATGCAAATCACACATAACATGTCAAGTCTTTCCTTCAAAGATCCTTTAGACACAATCAAGAATTGACTCCACAAAGTACTTCCAAAGAGGATAGGGAGGAAAGTGTATTCCCCATCTGCTCCGTTTAACTAAAATATCCCAGTACAGTTCGGTATGAGGATGGAAAGTAGTTGCGGACGTTTCTGTTATTTCAGACCCTTAGAAATGGTGTTTGGGGAGAGAAGACATTCAGAGTTTCTGCTCCCCAGCCTGATCTTGTTATTTCCAGTATGTGCTGTCAACAGTTAGGGGAAGCTCTTTTCTAAGAATGACTCCAGCTTTCAGAAGATTCTGAATCCAACACTGGTCTTAGGTTTCTTGAAGTAGTCATTAACACAGGAACCTCAAATTAATTAAAAGTCAGTCATATTAACAAAATCTATTCCCCCTTTCTTGGAAAGATGATTTTCAATTAAGTCTTTAAAAATTAATTTTGCAAGTACTTCCTTTGCTACGCACTCCACATTTATTATTTTATTGAATGTCTGTTATGGATTGAATGATGTCCCCCCAAAATTCATGTTGAAGTCCTAACCATTGGTACCTGTGATGTGATCTTGTTTAAAAATAGGGTATTTGAAGATGTTACCAATTTACTTGTGTTCAGAGTGGAGTGGGGGAATTCTAATCCAATATGAATGGAGTCCTATAAAAGAGAAGACACAGAGAAAGACACTTGAAGACAAATATGCTGTGATGGAGCTATTATGCAGCTACAAGTCAAGGAACACCAAAGCTACCAGAAGCTGAGAGAAACAAGAAAGAATCTCTCCTGGAGCCTTCGGTTAGAACATGGCCCTGCTGAAACCCTAACTTAGGAGTTCTAGCCAATAGAACTGTGAGAAACTAAGTTTCTGTTGTCTAAACCCACCCTCTTTGTAGTACTTTCTTCCAGCAGCATTAAGAAACTACTACTACAGACTACCGGCAACATGATGCTCTAGGCACAAGCACCACGCTGTCCCTCCATAGCACAGATCCGAAAAACTAAGCCAAACAGAGAAAACAGCAATCCTAAAACTATAAAACATCAAATGAAGAGACAAAGGACTCAGTCAAGCACCAAAAGGAGACAGAAAACTGACAGAGAATGGAGAGTGAGGACAGGTTCATGCAGAGAGCTCCTATCAGCTAATGT